GTCGTCCGGTACTCCTATGCCTACACGGTCTAGGCCATTGCCCGCGTCGCCCCACGTGTCCGCGCGACCCTGCCACCTCCGTGCACACTGCGCACGCCAGGCGTGGTCCGCTCGCCCGGCCACCCCTCGCACTCGCTCGTGCGCCTATGCGCACTCGCTGTCCATCCGCCGCTGCCCTCCACGCGTGCTAATGCTCGCGCATTGCCCGTCCTTCCGCAGCAGTCCCTCGCGCGCATCATCCACCCAACAACCTCCCCCTACGCGCCACTTCGCCATGCTAGCCTTTCCTTTGCGTAACCTTCGTTGGCCGGCCCGTGTAATCACGCGTCCAACCCGTGGACTCCTCCTCGTGCTTGGTTCGCGCGCTATCCCTTGACCTACGAGCTTCTACCCTTGTATAGTCGACCCTTGCCGCTCCTTACGTGCTCGTGCGCCTCGCATACGAGCTCGTACCCGCCTCTTAGGCCATGCATGCATCGTTTTGCCCCTGTTTCCAGCCCCATCGAGTCGTCTCGGCTCTTGGGCCTTCTTGTCGTCGGGGGTCAAAACCCACTTACGCATCATTCCCGCCCCCTTTGAGAATGTCCTTGCCCTCAAGGATTCATCCTCGACCATCCAAACCTCGGGCACTCTTTCTTCGATCTCAAGTTGGAACGTTGCATCCCCTTCATCCGTATTGTTCCTTCTACGCATCTCGTCATGGCCCTCGTCGACCACGGTCAAGATCTCACTCTCGACTTCGACCACCTCTTCTTCATCTTCGTCCGTGAACTCGTTGGCGAACGAAGGTGGATCCTCGGACTCAACTCGCTCGACCACGAACTCGGTGATCTTCTCTTCAACATAGCTTGGTAGATCCAACGCCAATATGAGCTCTTTGTTGGCGAATCCCTCCATGATCTTGAGTTGTCGTTCGAGCTTCTTTTTTTGCTCGTACATCTTCTCCAAATACTCTTGCTCCCAAGGGGTCAATTCCCTCTCCAAACTTTCGAGGTATTTGAGATCCTCCCAATCCAACTCAACTAATGCCTCAAACATCATGATTCTCTCTTTCTTTTTTTATGACTCTAAGAATAAAAATTCGAACAAAAGACTAACAAGATGACACCTTTTTTTTTTTTACTCTCGAAAAATAATGAAAAATTCGAACAAAAATTCGAAAATTTCGAACCAAAAAGAACAAAAATTCGGCCCCCTTAGCAAAAGGCAAAACCGAAAAAAAAAAGAAAAAGATAGATAGACAAAAATACGATCAGCACCTCTATATAAAAGCACCAATGATGACGGGATCGTATTTTTACTCCATACGTGGGTTGTGAATAATCGCGCACTCAGGGCCTTTGATTACTCATGATAGGTGTATCTAACAGACGCACTCGGCCTTCTCCTAGACACTGTGACTTCAAGACGCTCTAATGGCCTTCTCTCTGACACTGTATGTAAACACGCACTATGGCCTTGCTTATCACACGTTAGAACATAAAGTTCCCCTCTCTAAATTGACTCATCAATTCAATACTTCATTCCCAGACTTCAAATAATGATGAGGTACATGGGGTATTTATAGGTGCTAATTAAATCTAAGCCTAATCAATCTAGATCTCCTAAATCTTGCAATAATAGAAATCTTAATACTAGAAAGCAATAAAATCCTATCACTACCATAACTACTAATGTCTTGACTTGCACTCCAAGAATTTCTAGAAGCTTAAGTCCTTCTCACGTCTCAAACCCTCGGCCGCACCATCGCGTGCGCCGCCCTCACGCCTCGCCCTAGTCCTCGAGGACTAGGACTGCACCGCCTTCGCCCGTGCGTGTATGTCCTCCCGCCTCGAGTCTTAAGGCCTCGCGCCCCACATACGCCATTCCTATTCCTTGTAGGACCATCCCTCGAGCCCATATCCACTATTCCTATTCCTACTAGGAATAACCTCCCGGTTACGTTTCTTGATCTTCCGAGGATTACTCCCGTCACTGATCTCCCACGCGCTTTTCGGCACTCAACTGCTTTTCTTATTCCTGCGAGGATTAGTATTCGCACTTTCCCTATTCCTACGAGGATTAGGCTTGTCACCTCGTTCTTGCATTGTGCCTCGCGCGTGTCGCCTTGCGCCCCGCGCTCGTCATTCGGTACTCCTATGCCTACGCGGTCTAGGCCATCGCCCGGGTCGCCCCACG